TTTTTAAGATTTTTGGGTCTTTGTTCATAAAAAATATTATTCTGTCTTTTTTGTGTTTGTGTTTGCTGGATTTGGTACAAGAGTAATACTGGCTTCATAAAATGAATTCTTATTGTAGTTGTTAGGTGCCATCGAGTTGGATGCAACTCATAGCAACCTTAAGTACAACAGAATGAAATACTATCTGGTCCTGAGCCATCCTCAAAACCATTACTATATTTGAGCCCATTGTTGTGGCCAATTTTTTTTTTTTTTTTTTTTTTGCTGAGTTTCTAAAAGCATGATGTCCTTCACAGGGACTGGTGCTTCCTCATAACATGTACAAAAAATGTGAACTGAAGACTTGCCATTCTTGCTTCTAAGGAGCATTCCAGTTGTACTTCTTCCAAGACAAATTTGGTAAAGTTAATATTCTTCACCAACACCATAATTTAAAGTCATCAGTTCTTCTTTGGTCTTCCTGATTCATAATCTAGCATTTGCTTGCTTAAGGGGCAATTGGAATTACCACATCTAGGGTGAAGAGAACCATAGTCATCAAAGCAATATCTTTGCTATTTAACATTAAAAAAAAAATTTTTTTTCAGGTTTGTCCAATGAAATGCATCATTTTATTTCCTTAATGCTAGGTGGTGATTGTGAATCCAATAAAAATTAAATCTGTGAAAACTTTAATATTTGACCATTAATCATTATGCTGTTTATGGGAACAGTTGTGAGGATTTTGTTTTCTTTAAGTTGAATATAATCTATGCTGAAAAATGTTGTCTTTGAAGTTCATCATTAAGTGCTTCAAGTCCTCTTTGCTTTCAGCAAGCAAGGTTGTGGCATCAGTATATTGCAGGTTGTTAATGAGTCTTTCTCCAATCATTAAAGTCCAGCTTCACGGATTATTTGCTAAGCATACAAACTGAATAAGGATGGTGGAAGAATACAACCCTGAAAAACAACTTTCCTGATTTTAAACCATATATATATATAATGTTTTATTGTGAATTATATGATATTGCCATGGTTCCAATCCCCTCCATGCATCATCAACCAACCAAAGGGTATACCCTGCAAGCCTGTTCCCTACACTACCCACCCCCAAGTCTTCAGCACACAGTCGCTCTCCCTCTCTGGATCTAAAGTCCCCAGCTGCTCCATCGCTCCACGTCATCTTCTCTGCCTCTATCTCAGGCATCACTGCTTCTCTGGGTAGGGTCCCGCTCTCAGCTCTTCTCCACTGATGGTCCTAGGGACCTCCGCTCCTAGACTGGAAAGTTAATCACTCCCTTCCTTGCTATAAAACGTCTACCTTTATATTGCCAACCCTCACAATCAGTCCTGATAACAATTATTCACTATTGTATCACAAGAGACCCATCTGCATTTCATTTCATCAGCTCTGCCTAGACAGATTGGATATTACTCACTGGAGATTCTGCCTTCCTCCATGCCCCTTGGCTCTAGGTTCCCTCTTGAAAGCTTGTAAGCCAGTCACTTCTTGCTTTTGTAGCCTCCCCCGCCCCACTTTGGGTAGCCAATGGAATGCCTTTGCATTGTCAGTAAAACACTGGTAAACATCTTTACGGTATTCTCTGCTTTCAGGTCAAGATCCATTTGACATAAGCAATCCTATCTCTCATTCCACCTCCTTTTCTGAATCTGGCTTAAATTTCTGGCAGTTCCCTGTCAATGTACTGCTGCAAACCATTTTTTAATTTTATCTTAAGGATATTGTTCCATACTTTTGCATTCTTTTGGAATACCTTTCTTTGAAATAGGCACAAATATGAGTGTTTTCCAGTTAGTTAGCTTTCAAATTTCTTGATACAGTCAAGTAAGCACCTCCCAGAGCTGTACCCATTTGGTGAAACATCTCAATTGGTATTTTGTCAATTCCTGAAGCTTGATTTTATATCAGTACCTTCAGGGCAGGGTAGGTTTCTTACTTTAATACCTTGGTTCTTGATCATATGCTACCTCCTGAAATGGGTGGAAGTCAACCAATTATTTTTGGTACAATGACTCTGTGAAGATATAAATTGGAAGATTTCCATCTTCTTTTGATGGTTCCTACATTTATGCTTCCCATATTTCCCCCACAAAATTCTTAATTGCAACTCAAGGCTTGAAATTTTTCTTCAGTTCTTTCAGCTTGTGAAATGCTGAGATTGTTTTTTCCTTTTGACTTTCCAACTCCAGGTCTTTGCACATTTCATTATAATACTTAACATTGTCTTCTCGAGCCATCCTTTGGAATCTTATGTTTATTTCTTTTATTTCATTATTTGTTTCATTTGCTTTAGCTATTCTATGTTCTAGAGCAAGTTTCAAAGTCTCTTCTAACAGTCATTTTGGTCTTTTCTTTCTTTTCTGTCTTTCTAATTATCCTTTGCTTTTTTTCATGTATGATATCCTTGATGTCATCCCAGAACTCATCTAGATTTTAAACACTGGTGTTTAATGAGTCAAATCTATACTTGAGATTCAACAACTCATCTGTCAAGTTGTTATAATGTGGTTCCTTTCATAAGCTATGCCACCCACATTACAAATACCAGCAGGGTCACCCATGGTAGACAGGTTTCAGTTGAACTTCCATAGTAAGACAGACTAGGAAGAAGGACTTGGCCACTTAATTTCTGGAAAAAACAAACAAATAAACAAAACAAAACTGAAAAACAGTCCAACGAAAACCTTATGAACAGCAGAGGAAATTGTCTGATATAATGCCAGCAGTAAGACCTATATGTTAGAAGGTACTCAAAATATAACTGGGGAAGAGCTGCCTCCTCAAAGTAGAGTTGACTTTAATGATGTGGATAGCGTAAAAGTTACAAGACTTTCATTTACTTATGTGGAATGATTCAAATAAGAAATAGCTGCAAATATCCATTAGTAATTATAATATTGAATGCAGAAAGCATGAATCTAAGAAAATCAGAAGTCCTCAAATGAAATTGAATGAATAGATTGATAACTTAGGTATTAATGAGCTGGATTTTACTACTGGATATTTTATATGGTCTTCTGTAGCAGGGAAAGTGTGCACAAGGGCTGTATTCTTTCACCACATGTATTTAATCTATATGATGAGCAAGTAATCTGAAAAGCTGGATTATATGAATAACATGGCATCAAACTTGGGGGATGATTCATTAGCAACCTGCGATATACAGATGATGCAATCTAGCTTGATGAAGGGGAAGAGTACTTAAAATGCTTACTGATGAAGATCAAAGACCACAGCCCTCAGTATGAATTGCATCTTAGTGTAAAGAAAATAAAACTCCTCACAACTGTATCAATAAATAACATAACAATAAATGGAGAAGTTGTCAAGGACCTCAATTTGCTTGGATCTATAGTCAACACTCAAGGAAGCAACAATCTAGAAATCAAATAACATACTGCAATAAGAAAATATGCTGCACAAGACCTCTATAGAATGTTCAAGAATAAAGATAACAGTTTGTGGACTAAGGTGTGTCTGACAGGAAGAAAATAAAAGGGTATTTTCAATTGCCTCATACACATGTAAAAGTTGGGCAGTGAATAAAGAAGACCACATTAGAATAGACACATTTGTTTTATGGTGTTAGAGAAGAATATTAACAAACAAATCTGCCTTAGAACAACTATAGCCAGAATGTGCCTTAGGAGCAAGAATTGGATAGACTTCATCTCTCATACTTTGAACATATTATCAGGAGAGACCAGTCTCTGGAGAAGGACATTATACTTGGTAAAGTGGAGGGTCGGCGAAAAAGAGGAAGACCCCTGATAAGATGGGTTGGCATGGTAGCAGCAGCAATGGGTTCAAGCATACAGCAATTGTAAGAATGGCACATGATCAGCCAGTGCTTCATTCTGTTGTGCATAGGGTCAGTATGAGTTGGACTTCACTCAATGGCACCTAACAAAACAAAATGGTCATTGTCACAACTCCACAACTCCACAACTTTATGTAAAAGAAGTCATAAACAATACTTAAATAAATGGACATGTATCAGTTAAAAATGATTTACAAAATCAAGGAGCAGCTGGAAGTTTGCCTCAGAGTCCTGCTCTAGAACGATATTCCTAAGTTTGGCTATTTATTATCAAAGTCCCAGAATCTGTGAGATTACATGGGTAAACTGCAGACAGTTTTTGGCCAGTAGAGATGCAAATTATTACTGCTTTGAAGAACACAAAACCACAAAGATTACAGTGTTTTGCCCTGTAGGACATTAATCAGAATCTCTGGATGGTGCAAAAGGTTAATGCACTGGGATACTAACTGAAAAGCTAGAGGTTCATGACCACCCAGAAATGACTAAGAAGAAAGGCCTGATGATCTACTTCCAAAAAACCAAACCATTTAAAACTCTATGGAATATATAATTCTATTCTGACACACATGAGCTTGCAATGAGTAGGAATCAACTCGATGGCACCATATTTAGAATATTGTTGTTATGTGCTGTGGAGTTGGTTCCAACTCATAGCGATCCTGTACAAGGTTTCCAAGGTTGTAAATCTTTATGGGATTAGAAAGTCTCATCTTTCTCCCACAGAACAGCTTACCATGAGATTAGCAGCCTGATTCATAACCACTACACTACCAGAGCTCCTATTTAGAATATTAACCAGTTCTATATCTCACTTTGCAAACGGATTTCAGAATTCTTTTTCTTTCCTGACTATATAAATATCTGTTACTCAAATATTGTTGGAGCCAGTTTGTAATCTTGCTGGTTCCCTCATTAAAGACACATGCTCACTATAAATTGGTATGAAAGTCATGTCAATTGAAAATTATACTGTAGAAGGGACTGCCAATCTCCCAATATTCTAACCCTTCTGAAGGTACAAGGCAACAATCCACTAAAACATATTCATGCCACCCCTTCCTCTGTGTTCCAAGCAAAGGCTGTTTTAGGAAGGCCCAAAGTCAGTAAAGCCAAAGCCCCAGACACAGTCTTCCATGGGCCTGTCCTGCTTCCACACCCCACGCCCAGCTCACTCACCTTCATAGGTGGAGGCTGCTGTCTGAAGGTGGCTGTCTGCCGAGTGTCCTGCTTTCTAGCTACTTGGAGTTGTTGGGCAGCGGCGGCTGCAGCGGCCAAGGACTCAGGGATAGGAGGCTCCTGAGGCTCTGTCTGCCACTCTGCTTTCTGCTTCTCAAAGTAACTTTGGAAATAAAAGACACTGGCTGGATCATTCTGAAAGCAAGGAAACTTTGCCCCTTTTAAGAACTCCATTCCACAGAACCAAGGGTTGGACTGTGGCTCACTACAGAAAGTACTGTCCTCAGCACTAGGCTCTTCTCCCTGTGTACCAGGCCCATTATTTTCTGGGACAGGTAATCCTCCTACTCCTTCTTTCTGACACAAGTCCTTACTGTGTATCCCGTGATTTGATTTCTTTTGCAGTTTCCTATTTAAGTGTCCTTAGGCCTCTGCTGACATACCTCTAAAATATGAAGCTCACCACCTCCACAAGTAGCCTGCTCTACCTTTAGAAAGTACTTCCTTATACTGAGCCGAACTCTTTATCTCTGTAAGGTAGACTTAGATCTTAATTCTGGAGGTCATAAGATGATTTCCCAGTCTAGCACCTGGAGACCACAAATTTTAGTCTTCTGTGTTCTCAAAGGTTTCTAGACATCCTTTCTAGAATTTGACTTGGGTGGGACCTGACCTCATAAGAGTTATAGACATTGTCTAAAATTGTCAAAAATCACAATTTAAAAAAAATATATTTAGTAGTTCTAATCTAATCATCCTTTTTCTAGTACAACAACCCAGCACAGAAACTTGTCTGAGGTCATGCAAAGAGTTAGTCAGTCACTGATAGGCCTAGGGTACCCTAAATTTCAGGCCATGTTTTGTGTGTATATACATGCCTCTGTGTGTCTTTGTGTATTTATGCATGTGTGTGTTTCAGGGACAGGAGGCAGATAGCTTACTCCAAGGAGAGCTTTTCTTCCTCTTCACACAGGTCCGGGAGCCTCTGTAGGCCCAAAGTCATGCGCAGGGCATCCACATGTTCCTTCAATGGCTTATATTCATCATGTAGCCGACGGGTAGACTCTAGCAGCTTGTTTAGGTCATTCTCAGACTGTTTGATGGTGTTCTCCATCTAAAATGTAGAAAGGGGTGGGCACACAGACAAGACCTTAGCTTATAGCTGATTGAGTAATAAATAGCACAGACTTCAGAGCCAAACCAATCTGTAATCAAGGCTCAATTTCTTCATCTGTATAATGGCATAAAATAGTTGCTACCTCATACAATTCTGGTGAGAATTAAATGACCAAAATCATATAAAGTGCTAGTACAGGGGATAACACAGAGCAAAGGCTCTGTCAATAGCTATCATTTGTGGCACTGTAGGATAAGCACTGGACTGCTAATCACAAGGTTGGTGGTTCAAACCCACCAACCACGCCTCAGAAATCCTACACCAGGTTGCTCTGAGTTGGAATCAACTCAACAGCATTTAACAACAACAAAAATTCAAATATAAAGCGCCCTGGTGATATAGTGGTTTAAACATTAGGGTACTAACTGTAAGCAGTTCAAACCCACCAGCTGCTTTGCAAGAGAAAGATGAAGCTATCTGCTCCTGTAAAGATTTACAATTTCAGAAACCCTTAGGAGCAATTCTACTCTGTCCTATAGGGTTGCTATGAGTCAGAATAGATTCAGTGGCAGTGGGTTTAGTTTTGGGGTTTTATTCAAATATAGCATTTTAGACCTGTAATGACTCTTAGAACTCATTTGTTGTGTTGTTGCTAAATGCTGTTGAGTCAGTTTTGACTCATAGCAACTCTGTATAGGGTTTCCATCCCTATACAAGATTTAGCTCATCCTAATAACATCGAGTTGGAACCAACCTGACAGTGTTCAACCACAACAACAATGACATCATGCAGATCAGAGAACTAACACTCAGAGAGATGAAGGAACATCCTTGAGGAAACACTTTTTAGAGGCAAAGGCTCAGGGCTTCTGCTTCCTGGACCAATGATCTTTCTCTTAGATTACTGCTGTTGTTGTGTGCCGTCGAGTCAATTCTGACTCTAGCAACCCTATACGATGTTTCCAAGTAGTGGCTGGTGGGCTTGAACCTCCAGCCTTTCAGTTAGCAGTTCAGTGCTTATCCGACAGCATCGCACCAGGACTCCTTCTCTTAGATGGTGGTGGTAGTGGTTATGTGCTGTAGAGTCGGTTCTGACTCATAGCGACCCTGTTACAACGTTTCTGAGGCTGTAAATCTTTACAGGAGCTTAAAGCCTCATCTTTCTCCCACAGAACATCTGGTAGTTTCAAATTACTGACCATGAGATTAGCAGCCCGATTCATAACTACTACGCTACAAGAGCTCCTTTTTCTTAGATAAGTAGTTCTCAAACTGCGGTCCCTAGACAAGATTCAGCATCACCTTTGAACTTATTGTTGTTGTTGTTAGGTGCCATTGAGTAGGTACCAACCCATAGTGACCTTATGCACAACAGAACAAAACACTGCCCGATCCTGGGCCAACCTCACAATTGTTGCCATGCTTGAGTCCATAGATGCTACCACTTGGCTAATCCATTTCGTTGGGCTCTTCTTCTTTTTCTCTGACTCTCCACCTTACCAAACATTATATCCTTCTCCAGTGACTGGTCCCTCCTGACAATATGTCCGAAGTATGTGAGATGAAGTTTGGCATCTTGGCCTCCAAGGAGCACTCTGGCTGCACTTCTTCCAAAACAGATCTATTGGTTCTTTTGGCAGCCCATGGCACTTTTAGTATTCTCCTCCAACACCATAACTCAAATGCATCAATTCTTCTATGGTCTTCCTTATTTACTGTCCAGCTTTCGCATGCATAGTCCTCAAGCTGACATCTTTGCTCTTTAACACTTTAAAAAGGTCTTGTGCAACAGATTTGCCTAAGGCCATACGTCATTTGATTTCTTGACTGCTGCTTCCTTGAGCTGATCCAAGAAGAATGAAGTCCTTGACAATGTCAATCTTTTATCCATTGATAAGAATGTTGTTTATTGGTCCAGTGGGGAGGATTTTTGTTTTCTTTACATTGAGATGTAATTCATACTGAAGGCTGTGCTCTTTGATCTTCATCAGTAAATGTTTTAAGTCCTCTTCACTTTCCACAAACAAGGTTGTATCATCTGCAAATTACAGGTTGTTATTGAGTCTTCCTCCAATCCTGATGCCACGTTTTTCTTCATATAACCCAGCTTCTTGGATTATTTCCTCCGCATACAGGTTGAATAATATGGTGAAAGAATACAACTTTGTCGCACACCTTTCTTAATTTTAAACCATTCAGTGCTCCCATGTTCATCCTCATCAGCCTTGTAGTTGTATGCAACTGAGTTAATTCTAATTCATAGTGACCACTATGCAGGACAGAGTAGAACTTCCTCATAAGGTTTCCTAGGCTAAAATCTTTATGAGATAGTGTCTTAATGGTGCAGTAGTTATGTGCTCAGCTTCTAGCCAAAAGGTCAGAAGTTCGAATCCACCAGCCTCTTCACAGGTGTTCTAATCTGTCCTATAGGGTCACTGTGAATTGGAATAGACTTGAAGACAATGGATTTTAATTTTAATCATTATGGGAGCAGATTGCTAGGTCTTTTCCCCTGCAGACCAGTCAGTGGGCTTGAAATGCCAAACTGTCAGTTAGCAACCATTTCACCACCAGGTCTCTTTTATTAATCATTCCAAAAATCAAACCTACTGCTGTCAAGCAAGTTCAGACTCATAGCAACCCTATTGTTGTTAAGGGCGTTTGAGTTGGTTCCGACTCATAGCGACCCTATATAAGTTTTCTGAGGAGGAGCTGGTGGGTTTGAATTGCCTACCTTGCGGTAGCACCACACTAGAATTCCATAGGATAAAATAAAATTACCCTAAAGGATTTCAAAGACTGTAAATCTTTATGGAAGCAGACTTTAACATCTTTCTCCTGAGGAGCAGCTGATGGGTTTGAACCTCTGATCTTTTTGTTAGCAGATGAGCACTTTAACCATTGTGCCACCAGGTTTATCTTATTAGTTGTTGTTATTGTTAAGTGCCATTGAGTCACATCTGATTCACAGTGACCCTACATAGGATTTCTGTGGAGCCGCTGGTAGTTTTGAAAAGTCAACATTGTATACAGCAGTCCAGTGTTTATCCACAGTGCCACACCAGGACTCTATTGTGGCTGTTGTTAAGTGTTGTCCAGTCGTTTCCAACTCATAGTGACTCTGTAAAAGGTTTCTAAGGAGCAGCTGTTGAGTTTTAACCACGGACCTTGAAGTTCAAACCAACCTTGAGGTTCAGTGCATTATTCTACAACACAACACCAGGACTCTATTTAGAGAGATGTAAATAAAAACTACAGTGAGATACCATCTCACCCCTATAGCATGGTTAATAGCTTAAAAAAAAAATGGGTAAGGATTTGGGGAGATCAGAACCTTTATCCACTGTTGGTGGAAATGTAAAATGGCATAACCATTGTAGAAAATACTATAGAAATTCCTCAAAAATCTAGAAAGAGAACTATACCTTATGACCCAGCAATTCCACTCCTAAGTAAATACTCTCAGGCCTAAAAGTAACAATATAAACAGACAAATGTATACCAATGTTTACTGCAGCATTATTCATTATAGTAAAAAGGTGGAAACAATCCAACATTCACCTGCCCATCAACAGACAAATGGATAAATAAAATGTGGTGCATACACACAATGGACTACTACTCAACCTAAAAGAAAAATGAAGTCCAGATACATGTTACAATATGGATGAATGTCAGGCATTATGCTGAGTGAATTAAGTCAATTACAAAAGGAAAAAATATTGTATGGTTTCATTTATATGAAATGACAAGAAAAGGTAGTTAATTTGATAAGATCCTTGGCCTGGTAACATCAAGAAATAAGTACTGACACAGAAATGAATTTCCCAAGCATATAAACTTAGTTCCTTCAAATGTAATTTTAAAAATATTTATTGTCATAGGCTCTAAAAGTTGGAAGAAATCTTACAGTTGAATACCTCAAAGCGTACAGGGTCACTATGAGTCAGAACTGACTCCACGGCACATAACAACAACAACAACTCTCCAGGTGAAAGAATCACCAATATAATAACCCAGAGAGATGCTGCTTGAATACCTCAAAACGTAGGGTGCTTATCATCTTAGCATATCATTTACATTCCACATTATAAGAATCTCCAAATAAGAGACTCTAATGAGGGAGTCCCATCATGATAGGTAGGCAGAGATGATTTATTTTGCTTAGATGGGAGATGTGGAGCCCTTTAAGCTATACTTTAGAGGTAGCTATCAATTCTGCTTTCCTTCAAGCATAATAGAGCTGAAAGTGCCCTTAAAGATAATTGAGATCCACTCAAAGTTCAAAGAAGGAAACTGAGGCCAAATGAGAAAACACTGCAGTCAGTAGTGACAAAGTCAGGGCTAGACCACAGAACTCCTGGCTCTTTCCAACCATTTCCTACTCACCCTGGTTTGCCACAACAGTATCTTAAGGAAAGGCCATAGTACTCGCTATTGCTACTTCCTCATGAGGCCTGGTGTGGTGCAGTGGGCTAATGCACTGGACTGCAGTCAGTTTGAACCACAAGGTCCATAGTTCAAACTCACTATCCACTCACTGGAAACCCTATACCAGCTCACTATGGGTTGGAACCGACTTGATGGCACTTAACAACAACATGGGACCTAGAGGGAGACTCCAAGAGGCAGCCACATACCACATTGATGTCAGCATGAATCAATCGGAGTTCCTCCACATGAGCCATCTTCTCTTGTAGCAGAAGGTCCATTTCCTGCTTGTATTCCTTCAGGTGCCTCTCTTCAGATTCAAGGGCCTCAAACTCAGCCTTCAAACGGGCTTTGATCTTCTCCATCTGCAGAGTCTTACTCCTGCAATTCCCAAAAAGCAGAAAACAGGTCATCAGGAGAAAAGAAAAAAAAAAATGGGAATGAAGTACCCTATGCCAGGGTAACTTTTCAAAGCCTCCTGCTCTCAGGAGGAGTTGACCTGAAGCTATCTTTAAAAAGCTAGATTATTTATTCTGAAATTATGGTTCTCAAGTGAGGATAATTTTGGTCTTTTATGAAGAAAAACAACCACTCATCTGAGAGTTTGTAGTACTTACATGCTGCTGTGATACTGGAAGTTATGCCACTGTATTTTTAAATAGCAGCATGGTCACCCATGGTGGACAGATTTCAATGGAGCTTCCAGACTAAAACAGACTAGGACGAAGGAAAGGTGGACAATTTCTGAAGGGTTAGCCTTTGCAAAATATGAATAGCAGATCATTGTCAGATACAATGCTGGAAGATGAGCCCCTCAGGATTAAAGGCACTCAAAATAGACTAGAGAAGAGATGCCTCCTCAAAGCAGAGTTGGCCATAATGGGATCATACGGGACCTTCTTTAGCTATTGGGGCACAAATCAAAATGAGGAGAAAAAGTTGCAAACATCCATTAATAAGCAGAATGTGGAATGAATTTAGGAAAATTGCAAGTTGTCAAAAATGAAATGCAACCCCTAAAGTTTGATATCTTTGGCAAAACAAGGCCAGGCCAACTGTGGAAATGACCATCAATTACTCTATGCAAGTTCAGGCTGAAGCTGAGGAAAATTAAGGCAAATCCACAAGAGTCAAAATATGACCTTGATTATATTCTACGTGAATGTACAGACCATCTTAAGAACAGATTTGAAGCATTAGACACTAATGACCAAAGACCAGAAAAGCTCTGGGATATTTCAAGAAATCACACAGGAAGAAACCAAAAAAAGATAAGAAAGAAAAGACCAAAATGGATATCAGAAGTCTTTGAAACTTGCTAGTGAACATAAAGGGCAGCTTGAGAAGACAAAGTCAAGTATTATAATTATATTTGCAAGGATCTGGAGTCAGTAAACCAAAAGGGAAGAATACTCTCAGCATTTCTCAAGCTGAAAGAATTGAAGAAAAAATTCAAGCCTCAGGTTGCAATATTGAAATATTCTATTGGCAAAATGAACCCTGGTGGCATAGTGGATTACACGTTGGGCTGCTAAACTCAAGGTCAGCAGTTCAAATCCGCAAGCCAGTCTGGAAGAGAAAGGGGAAGCTTTCTGCTCCCATAAAGCTGTCCAGCATCAGAAATCCTATACAAGGTCACCAAGAGTCAAAACCAACTCCATGGCACACAAAAACAAACAAACAAAAAATGACAATAATAATGGGAAATGGACAGGGACATAATCACAGTGGACTAGAGTGGAGAGTGAAGCATCCACCTGATATGAAGTGAGGAGAGATGCACAAGAACACCCATACTTGCAGAAAGTAACCATCTGACCTAGCTTCAATGGCTGGATGACCAGAACTCGACTAGAGGAAGAAAGAAGAAGAAAAAACGTGTAATCTAGCACAATTTGATGAACTTGGTCTATGCTTATGGATATAGTACCTTAAAAGAGGGAGCGAATCTTTACAGCGAGGATCATTCCCTCCCCTTCTGTACACAAGTTTGACAGGGATGGGCATCTTAGACATTGGCTACACAAAATGGGGGGGGGGGTGATACAAAGGCATGAAGTGACTGGTTTACAAGTTTTCAAGAGGAAGCTTAGTTCCAGAGGGTGCGGGGGAAGGTAGAATCTCCACTGAGTGGTTTCCAACCTGTCTGGACATGGCTGGTGAAAGATGGGGATAAGACTCTTGTGGTTCAATAGTAAATAACTGCTATCAGGACTGATTGTGAATGTTGCAAATGTAAAGGTAGATGTTTCGTAACAAAAGGAGGGTAGTGGTTGATCTTGCAGTCCAGGAGCAGAGGTCCTGGGACCATTAAGGAGAAGAGGGGAGTGCAGGACCCTATTCAGAGAAGCAGCAATACCAGAGATGATGGCGTGGAGATATGGAGTGGCTGGGGAGTTTAGACTCAAGGAAGGAGGTGGGCTGTGTGCGGGCAGTTGCAGGGGGGCTGGCATGCAGGTTATGCCCTTTGATTGTTTGAATGGTTATATATTCCTGAGTACTTCAGTGTACATCCAAAAACAAACAAACAACAACAAAAATAACCAGAGGGATTAGAAGCAAATACTGTTGAATAATGATGCATGGAGGGGATTGTAATCATTGCAATGAAATACAACTAGGTAAATGTAAGCTGATGCTCTCCCATGTAAACTATCACTCAATTCACAATAAAAACTTAAAATAATAATAATGGGAAGAAGCATCAAAAGAAAATGGAAGAAATATAGTCACTGTGCCCAACAGAACGGTTTGATGTTCACCCATTTCAAGAGGTACCATATGATCAAAAACCAATGATACTACAGGAAAAGGTCTAAACTGCACAATGGAATTAGTAAAAACAAAACAAAACAAGGTTCCAGGAATTGTTGGAATACAAAAATGTTTCAGCAAACTGATGCAGCACTGAAGGCGCTAATTCCTCTATGCCAAGAAATCTTGAAAGCAGCTACCTGGTCAACTGATTAGAAGAGATCCATACTTGTACCCATTACAAAGACAAGAGACTCAACAGAATGCAGAAATCATCAAACAGTATCATTAATAACATATGCAAATACAATTTTGGTGAAGATAATTAAAAAACATCTATAGCAGTACATCAACAGGGAACTGCCAGATATTCAAGCAGGATTATGAAGAGATGTGGAACTACAGATATCACTGCAAACATCAGCTGGAATTTAAGTGAAAGCAGAGAGTAACAGTAAGACGTTTACTTGTGTTATATTGACTGTGCAAAGGTTTTTGACTGTGTGGATATTAAAAATTATGGATAACATTTTAAACAATGTATACATTGGAACATTAATTTGTGCTTACGAGGAACCTGTTTGAATAGAAAAGTTATACTGAGTGGTTTAATATCAGAAATGTGTACATCAAGGTTGTATACTTTTATCATTCTTATTAAATCTGTATGCTGAACAAATAATTTGAAAAAGAATGTGCTATCAGGATTGGAGGAAGACTCATCTACAATCTGCGATATGCAGATTATACAACCTTGCTAGCTGAAAGGGAACAGGACTTAAAATACTTACTGATGAAGATTAAAGATTATAGCCTTCAATATGGGTTGCAATGCAATATAAAGAAAATAAAAATTCTCACCACTGGACCAACAAAAACCATCAAGATAAATGGAGAAAAGTCTGAAATTGTCAAATATTTTATTTTGCTTGGATCCGCAATCAACACTCATGAGAAGAGCAGTCAAGAAATCAAATGATATATTGTAGTAGGCAAATCTGCTGCACAAGAACCCTTTAAAGTTTTCAAAAGCAAAGATGTCAGTTTAAGGATGAAGGTGCGCTTGACCCAGACCATGGTATTTTCAATAACCTCATATGCATGTGAAAGTTGGACAATAAATAAGGAAGACTGTAGAATAATTGATGCATCTGAGTTATGATATTGGAGGAGAATAGTAAAAGTACCATGGATTGCCAAAATCACAAACACATCTTTCTTGGAAGAAATATAGCCAGAATGTTGCTTAGAAGCCAGGATGGTCAGACTTTTTCTGTTATACTTAGGACATACTCAGGAGGGACCAGTCTCTGGAGAAGGACATCATGCTTGCTAAAGTGGAGGGTCAGCCAAAAAGAGGAAGGCCCCCCAATGAGATGAACTGGCACAGTGGCAGCAGCAATAGGCTCAAGCGTAAGAGCTTGAGTCTTGTAGACCATGATTCAATGAAATGCTTCTATTAATATAGATCTTGGATCAGCATTTTGTAGATTCCAATATAAAATTCCTGTACATATTATGTTAAGATTTATACTTCAAGATTTAAGTATTTAGTATCTTGAGTAATTGTAAATTGTTAAGTGTAAATTCATAAGAGTCTGCTGAAAATACCATGGCTTGGGTCAGGTGCACCTTAGTTCTCAGAAGACACCTTTGTTCTTGAACACTTTAAAGAGGTCTTGTGCAGAAGATTTGTCTAATGCAATAAATTATTTGATTTCTTGACTGCTGTATTCATGAGTGTTGACTGTGGATCCAAACAAAATGAAGTCTTCGACAAATTCAGTCTTTATCCATTTATCATGATGTTATTTATTGGTCCAGTGGTGAGGATTTTTGTTTTCTTGATATTAAGGTGCAACCCACATTGAAGGCTGGGGTCTTTGATCTTCATCCATAAGTATATTAAGTCCTATTCCCTTTTGGCAAGCAAGGTTATATAGTCTACATTTCACAGGTTGTTAATGAGTCTTCCTTCAATCCTGATACAATGTTCTTCTTTTGACACTCCAGCTTCTCAAATTATTTGCTTAGCATACAGATTGAATAAGTACGATGAAAGAAAGCAACCCAGGCACACACCTTTCCTAATTTTAAACCATTCAATGTGCCCTTGTCCTGTTTGAACAACTGCCTATGTAGAAGTTCCTCATAAGCAAATTAAATGGAATACTCATTCTCTGCAAAATTGTCCATAGCTTGTCATGATGCACATAATCGAAAGCTTTTACATAGTCAATAAAGCACAGATAAACATCTTTCCAGTATTCTCTGTTTTCATCAAAGATCCATCTGATGTCAGCAGTGATATGCCTCATTCCATATACTCATCTGAATTCAGCTTGCATCTCTGGCAGCTCCCTGTCAATGTATGGTTGCAGAAAATTTTCAATTATCTTTAGCAAAATTTTACTTGCAATATCAATGATTGCTGTTGCTGTTGAGTTGTTACATGCCATCAAGTGAGTTCTGGCTCACAGTTACCCTGTATAGGGTTTCTGAGGAGCAGCTGGTGGGTTTGAACTGCTGACCCTGTGATTCACAGTCCAGTGCTGATCTAAGAGCATCACAACAGGGATGTTCCAGAATTTCTATATTCTTTTGGATCATCTTTCTTTAAATGGGCA